ATTTTAGAAAAATTACAAGTGAATATAAATACCAAGGCAGTTTTGATATTTGTGGACGCGGAGAAAGCTTTTGACAACATTTCTTGGAGTTTCATGAAGAAGAATCTACCGGGGATGGGGTAGGCCAAGGCTTTGGAAACGGTATAAGTGCAATTTATTCAGAACAAAAGGCCAAATTAATTGTTAATAACGTGGTGACGGAGGAATTTAAGATAGAAAAAGGGACACGACAAGGTTGCCCAATCTCCCCATTGCTTTTATATCGGTCCTGGAGGTCCTGCTGAATATGATTAGAAGGGACCAATTGGTTAAAGGTATACAAGTCGGAGCTAAACAGTACAAATTGAGAGCATTTGCAGATGACTTAGTATTGACATTACAGGAGCCAGAATCTAGCACTAAAAGGGTTTTGGAACTGACTCAAGAATTTGGTCAGGTTGCAGGATTTAAACTGAATAAGTTAAAAACAAAGGTCTTAGAGAAAAATTTCACAGCGATTGAGAGAGAGAGGTTTCAGAATGAGACAGGTTTAACAGTGGTTAAGAAAGTGAAATACCTGGGGATTAACATGACAGCTAAAAATGGGAATCTATTTAAAGACAATCATGAAAAATGCTGGACTGAAGTGAAAAAAGATTTAGAAATTTGGTCAAATTTGAAGCTTTCACTGCTAGGCCGTATTGCTGCGATAAAAATGAATGTATTGCCTAGAATGTTGTTTTTGTTTCAAACATTGCAAATTTTGGATAAAATGGATTGCTTCAAGAAGTGGCAGAGAGATATTTCTAGATTTGTCTGGCAGGGCAAGAAGCCTAGAATAAAATTTAAAATACTAACGGACGCAAAGGAAAGAGGTGGATTTGCCCTGCCAGACCTTAAACTTTATTATGAATCAGCAGCTTTTGCTGGCTGAAAGAATGGCTGCTTCTTGAAAACACAGACATTTTGGACTTAGAAGGTTTTAATAATGTATTTGGATGGCATGCATATTTGTGGTATGATAAGGTCAAAGCACATAAAGCATTTAAAAATCATATTGTCAGGAAAGCATTGTTTAATGTCTGGATAAGATATAAGGACCTACTTGAAAATAAAACCCCAAGGTGGTTGTCACCGATGGAAGCGAAGGCTCAGAAAAAGCTCAATATGGAGGCCAAATGGCCGAAATATTGGGAAATTCTGGAACAAGAGGGAGATAGATTGAAATTGCAGAGTTTTGAAAAACTAAAAAATAAAGTGCGAGATTGGCTTCATTATTATCAGATAATGGAGGCATACAATTTGGACAAGAAAATTGGCTTCCAGGTGGAAAAATCAAAATTGGAAACAGAACTGTTAGAACCCAAAACCAAGATTTTGTCAAAGATGTATAACTTGCTGTTGAAATGGAATACTCAGGATGAAACGGTGAAATCTGCTATGATTAAATGGGCACAAGATGTTGGACATAACATAATGATGGCTGACTGGGAACAGTTATGGACCACAGGTATGAAGTTTATGGCATGTAATGCCTTAAGAGAGAATATTATGAAAATGATATACAGGTGGTACATGACACCAGTCAAGCTTGCAAAAATCTATCATTTGCCCGATAATAAATGTTGGAAATGTAAAGAAACTGAAGGTACATTCTTTCACCTTTGGTGGACATGCCCAAGGATTAAGGCTTTCTGGGAGATGATCTATAACGAAATGAAAAAGGTATATAAATATACCTTCCTGAAGAAACCAGAGGCCTTTCTCCTGGGCATGGTCGGCCAATTGGTGCCAAAGAAGGACAGAACTTTCTTTATGTATGCCACAACAGCAGCAAGAATACTTATTGCAAAGTATTGGAAGACACAAGATCTACCCACTCTGGAAGAATGGCAGATGAAGGTGATGGACTACATGGAACTGGCGGAAATGACTGGCAGAATCCAAGACCAGGGAGAAGAGTCGGTGGAAGAAGATTGGAAGAAATTTAAAGACTATTTACAGAAATACTGCAAAATTAATGAATGTTAGAATGATGTCAGAATGAAGTTAAGTGGTTTTAGCAGCAATGTTATAAAGGTGTATGTAAAAATGGATTGTTAACAGGTGAGAATCTAAAGTTATAATATATTAAGTTAAAGGATTAAGATAAAAACAAAGAGGGAAAGGAATTGCTGAATTAACTAACTGAACTGGAATACAAAAAAGGGAGGCGTGAGGAGGTCAGGGAAACAAGTAAATGAATTGTAAGGCATGGAAAGATTGATTTGTTTTTAAGTGTCTTTTATTTTTTTTGTATTTTGTATTTTTTCTTTTCTCTATTTTTCTTTTTCTTATCTATGTAACCTTTTTTTGAAACCTTAATAAATATCATTTTTTTTAAAAAAGAAGAAGCCTAGGGCCTCTAGATCTAGGGGGCCTCGCCAGCCTGCCCGCTCCCCAGTGCCGCAGACAGTCTTCCCTCTCCCCAAATTGCAAACCCAAGACTTCATGCAGGGCATTTCTCCCCCATTTCAAGGACATTTTGCTTCAAAAGGAAAGGTGGACTTGGAGAAGGCAAGCAAAATGCGAGGGAGATAGTGAAAGATAGAGGAAATTGAATGCAGATTTCCAAAAAATAGCAAGGAGAGACAAGAGGGCCTTCTTACACGAGCAATGCAAAGAAATAGCGGAAAACAACAGAATGGGAAGAACCAGAGATCTGTTCAAGAAAACTGGAGCTATGAAAGGAACATTTCATACAAAGAGTACCATAATAAAGGACAAAGGTGGAAAGGACCTAACAGAAGCAGAAGATGTCAAGAAGAGGTGGCACAAATACACAGAGGAACTATACCAGAAAGTTATGGATGTCTCATACACCCCAGGTAGTGTGGTTGCTTAAATATATTGTTGTTGTTTAAAATATATTTTTTACTAGCCTGCTCAAGAGGATGGAAAGGCAGGACACTACTAGCATCTCAGCAGACTAGGAAAAACAAACAAGCCTTGCAAAAGAATGATTGAGAGGACTTACTTACAAAGGCTCAACTATCAAGCAGGCGCTTACCTGGAGTCCCAGCGATCTGTTTTAGAGTCGAATTTGTAAACAGCCTCTGTAAAACAGTAGGATATGAAGCTGTTAACCACATACTGATAAACATATCATAAAAGCAGACATGAAAAACAAATGGCCACTGGGTACTACTAACAGTGGGACACTGGTGGCGCTGTGGGTTAAACCACAGAGCCTAGGACTTGCAGATCAGAAGGTCGGCGGTTTGAATCCCCGAGATGGGGTGAGCTCCCCTTGCTCTGTCCCTGTTCCTGCCAACCTAGCAATTCAAAAGTGCACGTCCAAGTGCAAGTAGATCAATAGGTACCGCTCCGGCGGGAAGGTAAACACTGTTTCTGTGTGCTGGTCTGGTTCACCAGAAGCGGCTTAGTCATGCTGGCCACATGACCCGGAAGCTGTACACCGGCTCCCTCGGCCAATAAAGCGAGATGAGTGCCGCAACCCCAGAATCGGTCACGACTGGACCTAATGGTCAGGGGTCCCTTTACCTTTAACTTTAACCTACTAGTACTTCACCTTGGTTTTCCAGCACAACAGTGGCTGTTAATAGACTCCATTGTCAGGCAACAGGGGGTCTTTTGCTTCTCTGCTGATAAGCGATTTCTTTTTGGCTTTAGCTAAACATTCAGCGTACCCAAAAGACAGCTTTTGCTGATTTCACAGAGGGAGAGATCAAGTTCCTCCCGACTTACAAATTCGACTCTAAAACAGATCCTGCTTGATAGTTGAGCCTTTGTAAATAAGTCCTCTCAATCATTCTTCTGCAAGGCTTGTTTGTTTTTCCTAGTCTGCTGAGATGCTAGTAGTGTCCTGCCTTTCCATCCTCCTGAGCAGGCTAGTAAAACATATATTTTAAAAAATGGCTTTCTGCTAAGCAAGCTGTTGGAGGAGGGCTAGAGTTGAGGGCTGGATGGACTTCCTTTCCTCTGCAGCCAGAATGGACACCGAGCCATGGAGGAAGAGAGAGATCCAGCTCTCCTTCACCTGCTCACTTTGCTTGCATGGAATTCCTGGTTGCCAAAGGCTGCTAGGCGAGTTGTGAAATGCAAGGCTGTGATATGTTGTCTTCCTCAAGCCATCCCTGCTCAAAGTCTCTGGAAATGTTTTGGCTCCTTTTCCACAAGCAGCCTTTCCCCACATTTGTCCTGATAACCAGCATCCTCTGTTTCATGGCGTGTATAAGCAGAGAATCCTGTTTGTGTCAAGGAAGTCTGGGAATTAGACTTGGTGCTCTCTCAAGATGAGTCTGCCAGGGCATAAGAACATGAGAGCAGCCCTGCTGGATCAGGCCATTGGTCCATCTGGCCCAGCATCCTGTTCTCACATTGGCCAATGAGATGCCTCTTGGGGAGCCCACAAACAGGACCTGAGTGCAACAGCACGCTCCCCTCCTCCAAGCCATACTGCTTCTCTTGGTGGAGTATGTGCGGTGGCCATTATGGCTAGTAGCCATTGAGCCTCACCATCCAGGATTTGGCATATTCTTGTGGTTCTGGACAACTGTCAGAAGCCACCTAGGCCTGCTAGTTTCATTGCTCTTGCTGTGGTAATGGGGAAATCAAAAGGACAGGCGGAACATGTAGTGACGAAGCCGGAAAAGGGCAGGCTCCTTTGGGCAGCATTTCAGGTGCCAGAAAGGGTCTTTTGGATCACTGAAAAAATAGTGTCTGAACAAGAATAACGGGGCCCCTTGCTTTGGGGAAGGATCATCATTTGGTGGTGTGCCATATGCTTTGTATGCAGAGTCTCAAGTTGAAAGGCACCTCCACCTGAAAAAGGATTGGGCCACAGAGAGCTGCTGCCAGCCAGAGTAGACTTAATGAATTGTGGGGTTGGAAGGGATCACGAGGGTCATCTAGTCCAACCCCCTGCAATGTAGGAATCCAAACTGGGGGAGGTCAGAAATTCATTCTGACCTGGTAGAAGGCAGCTTTTGATTTCCTAACAACTCTCTCCATGAGGCAAAATGCCTGCACACCTGCAAGGTCCGCCCCTTCAGAAGCTGGACTCCCAAGCCCCATCATCTCCAGCTCTTGACCGTGGTCAAGATCACACGCCATGTGTGGAGCCAAAGTTTGACTGCGTGAGCCTTGTGTGTTGCCTCAGCCAGTCCAACAGTCCTGGTGTCTCTCCTGTCTCCTTGCAGTGGGAAGTGCCGTGTGCCAGCATGGTGTGAGCCAATCCTCTGGAGAGGAGGCAGCGTGAATCAGCTCAGCTACCGAAGCCACATGGAATTGAAAAGGAGCGACCACAAGCCCGTCAGCTCCCTCTTCCTCACAGGGGTAACACCTGCCCTGGCCAGGGCTATCGTCTATTCAGGGTTTTTAGTTGCCTGCTATGTGGCACCTCCTCGAATCTGGGCAGGCCCTGACCAACAACCAGGCCCCTTTCCACAGAGCTCCTCCTTGGCCAATGACTTCCGGTGCAAGGAGTGGGCAGGTTTTGGCTCTGTTAAATCCCTAGGCTTCCATTCTCCACTGTTCTGAGTACACGCTGCTCCTGCAGGCATGGCAGACCACATGGGCTGAACTGTATACCTTAACCGTTGGCTCCATTCATGCAATGGAGCTTCTGTGGTACTTGGCTTGGAGCATTTGGCTTCAGCCCATTGGGTCTGGAAGTCACAGCCGCTGCCATCCTGGGGAAGCTCTCAGAGTTACAGTACTTGCCTCTTTCAGGGCTGGGAACAGGGGGGTGCATCAGGCCTTTCTGCTCTTAACTCATGCCCCCCCCCTTTTAGTCCATAGCCCCAACAAATGTGCTCTGCCCCCCCCCATAGGTGAAGGTTGTGGCTGACCGACGGTACCGGAAAGTGTTTGAAGATATTGTTCAGTTGATGGACAGGATGGAGAACGAATTCCTTCCCTCCCTGGAGGGAGGTAAAGACGAATAGGATCCTCTCCAACCCCTTAAAGAGGGTTTGCTGCAAAAAGACCAGGGGGGAAAGAAGCCCTTGGCCCATCTAGCTCAGTCTTGATTTTCCGGGGATCTCTCCCAGCCCTACCTGGAGATGCTGGGGATAGAACCTGGGACCTTTGCATGCAAGGCAGATGCCCTTCCACTGAGCGGCAGCCTCTTCCTCTTCCTCGCAGGCAAAGACTCCAGGGGTAGCCAGCGTGGTGCCCTCCAGATGCTGGACTACAACTCCCATCATCCCCAGCCAACATGGCCAGTGGCAAGTGCAGCAAGATCTGGAGAGCCCCACGTGGACCTGTTGCATGTGCAGTCCCCTAAATGAGAGCCCGGGGCCAAGGACAAACTTCCCCCGGAGCACGTTTCCTTGCCTCTGCTGAAGGCAAGCACTCTCTTTCCTCCTCCCCCCCCCTTTTTGCTCTGCAGTTTCCGTTTGAGAATGTGAAGTTCCGGTAGCTGCAGAAGGAGAAGTTCCAGATCACAAACAACGGGCAGGTCACCCTCCACTTCTCCTTTATCCCCAAGCTCAGTGACAGCCAGTATTGTAAGCCATGGCTTCGCGCTGAGCCCTGCGAGGGATACTTGGAGCCCAGCGCGTCTCTCTCTGGAATCAGAGAACTGTAGAGTTGGAAAGGGACCCCAAGGCTCATCTAGGGAAGGCCTTGGTTTCCTTTTCATCCCCCCTTTTCCCCTCCTCTTCCCAACCCTCCTCCCTCAAACCTTGGGAGTTTGGTAGAGCAGGGGAGGCTTAACATTTGTGGGCTGCATTGCCCCATGCTCAAGCCTCCAAGGGCCACACGTCAAAGCAGCTGAGCCCAAAGTGTAAAAGTGTGTGTGACCAGCTTTAAACACACACACACACACAAATGAATTGAAGCAAAACAATGCTGGAGGGTCCCCAAACACCTTTTGGCATCGCAGGGAACCAGTGAGAGCAGTCCGTCCAAAAATTACCTTTTTAAAAAAAATATGCGTATTTTTATGTTGTGGAGGCACAAAAATATCTTGGGGAACATATAGAACTAGCCAAACTTTTAAAAACTCAATGAAATGTAAACTAAAAAAGAAAGTTACATTGGGGGTGCAAAAATCCTTTCCCTTTTTATATTCTTTTGTTAGGATCACTTTCTCTCACCCCCCAGTATCCTGTCACCATCTTCTGTGCAGCTGCTGCTTTGGAGGACTAGAGAGGAAAGTGGGGTGGGGGTGGGAACTGAGTCGCTTCTTCTCCTAATTCTTGAAGTTAAGGTTTCCCCCATACACCTGTGAGAACAGGAGGCTGTACTAGATGGGCCATTGGCCTGATCCAGCAGCCTCCTATTGTGTCCTTCTGTTCAATTATTCACCGTCTTAACTTTTAATTTACAGACAAGCCAACTTGGCTGTGCCAAAGAGTGTATCTACCTGACCTCCTCCCGTTTTAGGTGAGACGGTGGACATTTCCCTGGATGTGTACGTCAGCAAGGAAGAGAAGATTGAGGCTATCTTTGTCCTTCACCTTGACCGTGGCAAGGACTATTTCCTCACCATCAGTGGGAGCTACCTACCAAGCTGCTTCGGGACCTCCTTGGAAGCCTTGTGCTGGATGAGGCAGCCGATTGGCAAAGTTCCCGTCACCAGACTTATTGACCTGGTAGGGAAAGGGGTTGATTTCCCTGGCAGGTTCATGTGCTGAATGTCTACCCTTCCCACTCTGCTTGCCTGCTTGAAAAACAGCTGCTCTTCCACTCAGCAATGTGGGGGCTGGGGTCCTCCGCTGCATTCAGCTTCAGCTTCTGTAGCTGTGCACCCGCTTCCTGTGTGCTGTTCATGCCCTTTGTTTGCCTTGACTGAGTCATCCCAGGTTCTGGTCCTCCCACCTGCCCTTTCGCAGGGCCACTGAACCGTGTGCATTTCCCTGCCATCTGCCCAGATACTGTTCAGCCAACGGGCTGTTTCTTTCTCTTCTCAGGGCCTGTGCCATTAACACCCTTGGTTGTCTGTTGCTCTTGCCTTCCTCTTCTGATCTCGGGGAGAAGACAGCTTCCTAGAAAAGGTAACAGTTGGTTTGCTATCCTCTAGATGTTCTTGTAGCGGGCTCAAATCAGGTACAGGCAACGCCCCGTTTACACGGGGGTTGCGTTCCGAGGTACCGTGCGTTTAAATGAAATTGCGTATATTGGGGACAGCATTGGAAAAGCCTGCAAACACCCTCTAAACTTCCGGAAACCCTTTTGAAAGGCCTTTTGAAAACCAGCAGCACTTGCCAGCCTCCCTGCAAAACTCCTTGCTCCAACTCTCCACAGGCCTGAAAGGTCGGTGCCAAAGCTCCTGGGAGGGAGTCGAGATGCTGTTTCCATGCCGCTTTGCCGCTTTTGTGCTCTTGGGGGGGACATTTTTGCCCCTTCAAGTGCCCCTTCCAGTGTGCATGTGCCCCGAAGGCACGTAAATGGAGTTGCCCTTGTCAACAATCAGCAGCTGCTCCATGCAGTGGCAGCTGGTCCCTTAGGGCAAACCAGGCACTACCCCACCAACCTGACTTTCCTCTCAGGCAACCCGCACCTGCCTGCCTTCTGACTCAAATCCAGTCCAGGTGGTGGCTCTAGCTCTCTGCTTTGGTCTCTTCCCTAGTCTCAACATGGCCCTTGTAGAACTCGGCAGAGGAGAATGGAGACGAAACCAGAATTTGCCATCACTGCTTGTCACTGATTTTGCGCTGCTTGACTCTGGGTCCGCTTGCGATTGGCAGCACGGGAGGCAGAAAGCCCAGTCTCATGATGCAGGCGCCAGCCCTCTCTGGCCCCAAGAGCCAGTTTTCTCCTTATCTCTGTGCTCAGCAACTGCTGCACAGGCTATGCCACTCTGGCTTACTCTTACCACCTGAGCACTGGCATTTGGGAAGCAGTAGTGGCTGCTTTGGGGTGGCTCAGGGAAATGTCACTCCTCTCGAAATCAGATATACTTGGGTGTATTATCATAGCCACAAGGAGACAGTGGTGACTGTCAATTTGGACAGCTGTAGACATTTAGAACCATGGAGGATATGTTTATCAGTGGCTACCGGTCAAGGCTATTTCTTGCCACTATTATCAGAAACCACATGCTTTTGATTAACAGATTATTGGGAACATGATGGACAGAGTGCATCAAATTCTCCATCCTTGCCAACTCCTTTTAGTGATGGGCTGCTTGCCATTGCTGTGCTCCTAAAGCTCTCTTGCTCCCCCCCTCCTCTCTTTCTCTTCTCTTGAATGTGGTAGCTTGAGATAGAACTAACCACCCTGAACATTTCTGGAGAGGAAGATGGGAAGGAGGCAGGAGGCATGGTTCACCAGCTGCTGTGTGCTGCATTGCCCAGACAAAGTCGTGGGCTGGGGCTCCAGCTGTTGTTCAGTTTCTACCACTGCCTCTGCAACGTGCTCTAGACAAGGGGTGGTGAACATGTGACCCCATCATCTCATCATGCTGGCTGGGGCTGCAGCCCATCAACCTATGAAGGCCCATCCATGTTCTGTTGCTGTTTTTGTTACTTATTTCCTGCCCTTCACCCTAAGGTCCCAAGGCAGGTTCCAGCAATTTAAATAAAATGTTAGCCAAACCTCATGTCCACAGCTGCATATTCAGTAAGCTTTTGGGTGAACTGCACATCCGGAGTGGGAGGATTACGAGCTGCATATTAATAGGGGGAGGGGGAGCTTGGATTTGGGGTGCGAGCAATTTGTTTTTTGTTTTCCCACTTGAGATGCTTGCTGTGGCTAGGGCCGGGCAATATGTCAATATAGCTATATTTTGAAATCAGCTTGAAGTCTAGATAGTGAGACTGGTTTCATAATTTCTGACCTGGCAATATATTGCGAATCATGATGTGTGTGTGTACTATGCAAAAAACACCATGTGGGGGGAAACTGTGAAGCCAGACAATGCTTCTCAAGATTCCTGCAGCCCCTGTGGACTCTGCCGGTTCAGCTTCCCCTGCCCTCCTGCAGGGGGCAGCAAAAATCACAATGCGGGGGAAACCGTGAAGCCAGCCAATGCCTCTACATAGCTCCATCTTATTTCAGACATCGCGATATATTGGTGTATTGCAGTGTTTAGCTAGTGCTATATCACCGTGTTGAAAGCCAGCTATCGCCCAGCCCTAGTTGTGGCCTCAGAGGGCAAGACTTGTCCACCCAGCTGGAGCAAGGAAAGAATGCATACAGGCACACATTCTGTCAGGCTCTCATGCCAGTCCCGCTTGTCATTGGACCTCCAGGAGAAGCAGTTTCTGGATATCGTACCCCAGGATGGTGATGACTCCACTGAGCGGCCAAGGAGATCTGGCTTTTGGTGGACCACCTCTTCAAGAATGCCTGCCACCAGGTGAGCTGAGGGGGACTGGTACCATTGAAAGGATGGGTGTGGGCTGGAATCCAGTACCAGTTTTGGGGTGTGCAGGTTCCAAACGCCACAATTGATTTATATCTTAGCTACCGACTCGCTCTTACAAACTCCTGCTGTGAGTATAGTGGCACCTTGGTGGAGCGGCAGCGGGTGGGACATCCAGCATATGCTATTCCTTAGAGCGGCTCAGAAGAACCCAAGTGTTCCCAACCATTGTCTGTCTATCCCTAGCAAAGCGGCTCTCTGAGACTCGTCACTAGAAGACGCGGGGAATGATTTCACTCTCCCATTGCCCCAAATCATGAGAAGGGTAGTAGGAATGCTACTGTGGAAAGCAGGCGGGATACAATTCTCAGCCCTTGTGCCAGCTCTCTTGGTGATGGGCTTCTCTCCATTGTGGCATTCCTCGACCTCACATTATGCACCCCAGGGCTGGATTGTTCTTCATGCTATCCAGGATTTACCTCATCCCTTCCTAACGCATGGGTGATACTCTGCTTCAGGAGGACCTCTTCCAGACCCCGGGCATGCAGGAAGAGCTGCAGGAGATAACTGAGTGCCTGGACACCAGCATTCCCGAGACGATCCGTATCCTCTTTGGGGGGCATTGTTGGGGAGCAGGGCTGCTTGGTGGTTTTCTTCGCTCTTGGCTGGAGTGGACCTCACTTTTATATACCTGGTGGCTTAGGTTCCTAGGCCAGCCCATCCTTAAGGCTCTGGGACACAGCACAATGAAATGCCCACAGTCAAGTCCAGTCATGCATCCAAACAGCTTCACAGCTTTAACCCCCATTTGAAAACATCAGCCTGGCTAGATAGAGCAGAGGTGGGGAACCTTGAGAGGCCCGCAGGCCCCACATCTAGCATCATACGTGGTGTCAGGTGTGGAGACAGGTAAAGACATGGCTGCAAAGGAGCTTCAAGGGCGCGTTCAATTGTTCTTTGGCAAGCAGGGTTTCTTGACCGCACTTTTGGAGTTGACCACTAGTATTTGTTGTTTGGATTGAAACCATGCCTGCAGAAGGACATTTCCTCGGCAGATCAGCTTTGCAGGCAGCTTCGTCAAGAGGGGAGGTGTGGGATAATTACAGTGGGATGGCTCAGCTGGTAGAGCGTGACACTCTTAATCTCAGGGCTGCGGGTTCAAGGTCCACCTTGCGCCAAAAGGGGGAACTTGCAAGGTGGGCCCAGATGTAAAAGGACCAAGCTTCTTGCTTTGGACCAGCCTGGGAAGGAGGCAGGCTGCAGGTAACAGGACAGAACACTTCCCTTGCCAGGCTGTCAATAGCTGGCAGTGACCCACTCGGTGGCCGAAGCTCTGCTCATCTTCCTGGAGGCAGTGCCAGAACCAGTCCTTTGCTATGAACTGTATCAACACTGCCTTGAGTGCTCACATGACAGCCACCTCTGTCGCCAGGTCGGCCCCAGAGCCCCATCTCTTGCTGGCTGGTCTGTGGTGTGTACAGAAGCATAGAATCAGAAGGGATTTCCAAAGTCATCTAGTCCAAATGTTGCCGCGAGTAACAGGAAATCCACTAAAACATCCCTGAAAGCCAGTAAACCGGCACACTGGCAGGAGGGCTAGTCTGGTCTGGGAAGCCTTGTTAACTGCAGAGGTTGCTGATGTCTCCTTTGATAACCATCCCTCTCGGTTGTGGAGGGGGGTGGGGTGCGCACATGTTGCCTTTTTGCTTTCTGACCAGGACTTGTAACAATAGCCCACCTGTTTCAGTGAACCTCGCTTGAATTTCCAACCCAGGAAGCGGCCATATACTGGGCCATCTAGCTCAGTATTGTCGAAATTGACAAGCAGTGGCTCTCCAGGATTTCAGACAAGGGATGTTCCCTACCCTCCTGGGAGATGCTGGGGGTGGAGCCTGAGACTTTCTGCATGAAAAGCAGGTGGTTTACTGCAGAGCTATGGCCCTTCCCCCAAGATATCTCAGTTGGTAGAGCATAAGACTCTTCATCTCAGTGTCCTGAGTTCGAGCCCCACCTTAGGCATTGCAGGGGGTTCGATTAGTTAACCCTCGTGGTCCCTTCCGACTCTACAGTTGTATTATTCCCCAAAGTTCCCAGCAGGGTTCTAGTCCGGTTACCATTTTAAACATTCTTTTTAATGCCAGGTCTAAACCTGCAAACACAACAAGTACACCGTGCTAGTGATCCATGCCCCTCCTCTAGCAAAGCTCTACACTGAAACTCCAAACCGCCCCTCCCTGTCTTGCCGGTGATCTGCCAGTTGCCGCGGTCGCACCAGAACGTGGTCCGCTCGTGGTGGCTTTCCTGCGGGAGCTGCTGAAATACTCTGAGAGCAACAACGTCAGCGGCAACATGCTAGGTAAGGCCTGCCTGTCCTGGCTGGGAGCTGGCCTTCCTCCTGCTCCCGCCTCCTCTCATGCAAATGTTTTCGCTTCCCTGCAGCCACCCTCTTCGCCAGCCTCCTGCTATGGCCTCTGCTCAACGTTCTGCCGAGTGCCATCGGCTTCCTCCTGGGCTTCCTGCTGGGGGCGGATGACTACGAAAGGTGCCAAGCGTGACTGGAGACGAAGTGGGGAGGGAAGAGGCAAGGCCCAGCCTCTGTTCTCTGGTGCCTGCCCTTCCCCTTGTGCCATCTTGCCATGTGCCAGCTCCCTTCCCTGTGCTTCGCCCTTTCCACCTTTTCCTCTTGACTCCTGACACGGTTGCACACTTGGCTTTCCACATGGTTCCAGGGCATTGGCAGCAGGTTCAGGGTGCTTGGGGAGGGACCCTGTTGGAGGACAGTCATTCCCCTGCCCATCCTACTACCACCACTGCTGCTCTCAGTCCCTGCGCAGTAGTCCACGCTCTCCCCTTCTGCTGCAGCTGAGCATGTGCTACTCTTGGTGGGTACCAGGCATAAGGATTCCTGGCCTGTCCTGGGATTGCAGGACCTCTTTCTCTGTCCCCCCAGCCTTGATGCTCATCAAGAAGGGGCAGGGCAGCCACTGTGGCCCACGTACGCCTTAGCCTGCTCTCTATAGTTCAGCTATCTCTCCCCATTCTGCCAAGTAGAGTTCTAGGGTGTTCATTCTTCATGAAACACTAAGCACTGCCTAAAGGGACCAGGGAGGAGGAGGGGGCGCAGGCTGGGCAGCAGGAGGGGAGCTGAGGCAGTGGGTACAGCTGGGTTGGGTTGGGCTCCCACCCGACCCCAAGTTCTGCAACTTTGTCTTTCTGCTTTTCTGTCCTGGGTTCCTGTACTTGGTGCACACACACTCTTAATTTATTGGGAAACGGTTGTTTCAAAATGAAAGATCCGTTGTGCAGAGATTGTTCTGGTGTTTGGAGGGGAGCTACACTTGCCTTTGCTGGTTTCTCCACTGCTCTGAAGCTCAGCCAGACTTTCCAAATGTAGCCGCCTTGGGCCCTCGCAGCACACATGAGGGAGAGGCTGTGGAGAGGGGGTGCTGCATGGGGCATCAGGTCGTGCAGATACCATGGAATCTGACTTCGCTCTTCACAACAAGGCTTGCAGGTGCAGAAAGAGGGCTACATTGCTTCCCCAAGGTGTTTCTCAATTGCTCTCCTTCCTCATACTGCTTGCAGCTTGCAAGTTTCAGCCCAGCAGCAGCTGGCTGCGAATTATTGCATAGACTCTTGAGGGGAGGTCTGCCCTCCCCTCTCCCCATTAAGCTTTGTCTCCAGGGCTCAGTGGTAGGAGGGAGAGCAGAGGAAGAAAAAGAACTGGGCTTGGCTTGAGGGGGTTATGAGAGCATATGTGCACCTGGTGCCAAGGGATAAGGCTGCAGAACTGAGCAGAGCACACTTAAGAGCAGGAGGAGCTGAGCCCTGCTCCCGCCGCCACCACCACCAACAGCAACTCCTAGATGTCCACTTGTTCTTCTCAAGGGAGTCCCCAAAATGACCAAAGGAGACTGGAGCTCTGAGAGCAGCTATGGAGACTGCAGAGTCTGGATGGGAGCTCTTTTATTATTTATTTTCATTTGAAGTGGGATGGAGTGGAGGCTAGATGGATCACTTTGAGGGGGGGGGAAGCAGGTGGAGAGCAGTGGAACGGGATTGGGAACTTCCCCCTTCCCCACTGAAATAATCCAACTGGGCACCCTAGGAATTGGCAGGGCCAACCTGCACATGAGGCGTTGCGAGGCCATTGGCTCAAGGGGGGGCAGATCAAGGTCCATAGAGCACCATGCTTGCAGCCATGCCACTGTTGTGACCACGGTCAGGCCCTTGTGAGGGTTTCGCCAACACAACCTGCTCCTCTCCAGCCTCCTTTCCTAAAGGAGAAGCAGAGGCAGGGCTCAGGGTGTTTCTGCCTCAAGCAAAAACATCCTCAGCTGGTCCTGGCAGTGGACATTAGAAATTGCTTTTGATATGGAAAAGAGTGGAATGAAGGAAAGTGGAGGGAGGGGAGTGTGTTAAAGGAAAAGGGAGGAGTTTTCCAAACTAAAATTGGGGTTGAAGACAGAGCTTGATTGAGTCACAAAAGGGGCTTCTGCCCACCCAGTGGAATTTCCGGCTCCCCACATCCCAGCGTCTTAAAACACAAGAAGAGCTTGGGGAGTCAATTTTGTGCATAAGGTAGATGTTTGGCATGGTCTGTCCTAGATGTGAAAAGAGGATCCTTTCAATATTTACTTTGGTGAACTACAGCTCCCACAACAGCAACTCTGAAGGTGACGCAGATGTTCAGAGCGGGGTGCTGATAATGCCAAGGTCATAAGTTTGATCCCTGTATAGGCCAACTGCATTATTCCTGCATTGTAGGGGATGGAACTAGATCAGTGGTTCCTAATTGGCTGATTACTGAGGACCCCTTATTTTTCAAAAGCCAAGCCGCAGACCCCCTACTTTTGAAAAATTTGATAACTCTATGGTAGTTACCTCTGCAAAGCAATTTTTTGAACAAAATGTGGGGTAATAAGCAAAGGATTTTAGGTATACTAAAAACAACAAGACCACCCATAAAATCTATGCTATTGCCATGCCAAAATGAGAGAAAATTAGTTGGAGGGAGGCAAGGGATGGGGCCACGGACCCCTGATTGGGAATAAGGGAACTAGATGGTCCTCGGTGTCCCATCCAACTCCACAATTCTATGATCCTGTGTCTTAAACACAAATCTTGAGGAATAGTGTGTGTGTGGGGGGGGTTCTGTTTGAACTTTCCCAGCCTTTGCTTTATTCTGATTTGAGCTTGCGTCCCTACTCCCCACGTGTAGAATTGCTATACGTTTGGATTTTCCTGGACATTCAAGCGTTTCCCGCATGGACACTTGTTTCCAACGGCCAAATCCCGGCAATTCCGGGCGGATGGCAACCCTACCCACTTGTGCCAGATTGCCTGGCATACATTACAAGCATCTAGTCACATCCCGGGGCTAGCCGACCTGACGGGAAGAGTCCGCGACCAGAAGGAGGAGGAGTACCAGGAAGAATGGACAAAATTCAAAGATTATTTAGCTAAATATGTCAAGATAACCTAATTGGAAAAGCTTGCAAATACGAGATAGGCTTAGGATTTAAATATGTAAGGATAGGAATTAAGATGTTTCAAGCTAGATTAGAAAGAATGAAAGATGTGAAGTGATCAAGTTATTTATTTATTTATTTATTTATTTTTAGAAGATTGATTTTGGAAAACTGTTAAAATGAAATACAATGCAATTCAACCAGGGGGATTTGAGGAAGTCACTTAACAATGTTATCAAGATTGGTTTAATTGCAATTAGGATGTATGTTTGTTTGTCTTAATTTTTTTTTTGGAAATTTAATTTTGAAAACTGAAAAGAAAAATAACATAGATTAGCCAGAATCCCAAGCAGCGACACTGTGAAACATTCATAGGAATAAAAGGTAGGGGGGAAGGAGGCACAATGTCAAGCAGGCAACAGAATAAACCCGAGCACTGTGGGTCTAAAACCGGCCCCTGAATCTCTTGCTCCCCACTCTGCCCTTCTAACAAGAACATTTTTTTGCTTGCTGGATGGCTGTGTGCAATGAGAGCTCAGTCACTGAGGAAGGGTGCTGGCCCAGTGGGAGAAGTATGTGCTTGGCGTGCAGGCGAGCCCAAATCCATTCAAGAGCAAAATTCCAGTTCTCATGTTTTCTGTCGAAATGGCTAATTTAAAGGGGAATAGCATGGTGCCTTCCACAGAGTCAGACCAAGGAGAAATTCTGTAAGCAAAGGTAGCAGGCTTTGAAAAGCTTATGCAGATACACAAGGACACATTGCTAAAAGAAACAAAGGGATTTGGAGGGACCATGAGTGAACAGGTAGTACCAGAATGTACAGAATTGTACCTAGAAAAAGGTTACAACTGGATTACCTTTTTGTAAACAAAAACAACAACCCCCAAAATAAAACTCGGAAGCAGCAGGACTCCTTAGGAACTCTTCAAAAACATAACAGAAAACTGCATATCCCTACCTAGTCACCAAATGTGAGGGGAAACGTAAACCAGCATCTTACACTGCTTTAAATGATAGCCAGATTCTGCAATTTTTACCACACCAGAAGTAAAAGCACGGGCATTATAAGTTTTGAAAAATCATGCACTTCATTTGTAGGCAAGGGAAAGCTTTCTGAAATGTACAAACTCTTACTAAGACACACAATCTGTTGAAATGACCAAGCAGCGGACGAGATTCGGGGACAGTGGTGTGCCGCCTGGGGAAATGTTCCTTTCCATTCACCTTAAGCAAAGATGTGGTGACCTTGTGCATCCATAAAAAAACTTTCAGAAATGTATTTCATTACTTCCCAAAGCTTCTCAATGGGCTACCAAATGGCATTTCTTTCTATTTTGGATGAAACTGGGGAAGCAGCTTTAGAAGAAGGGGTTGCTGACATTCACTGGCCTGGAAAACACCTGATGCCAATATGATGGCATAGCGGTGTCCGCAAATTGTGGGTGGTGAATTGCTTGGGTGGCCTCTCTTGAGAAACGTTGCCAGAAAATGGATGAACCTGTTTGTGATAAAAAGTGATTCGTAAAGCTGCAAACAGCAGGTGTCCCAAGGTTAGGGAGAAAACATGGCAACGAAAGAGGGGGGAGATTAGTTCAGGGTCAAGCTGGATGGGTTGTCAAGGAAACAGTGTCCTGCCCATCTTTGTGACATCTCGTGCTGCTTGTAGAAAAGACAGAAGCTACACATCCCCGTCGAGGGATAGTTGGGAGGAGTTGGCTGAGACAGAACTGGGACGGAGAAGCAAGCAAGCAAGCGAGGGACCAACAGGGGAGATAGGTGTAGACTTTGCTTTGCTTTGCTTTCACTTTATCATTTCATTTTCATTTGTATATTTTGTGCACATATTTTCCTGTCTATTTTAGACAGAGAGGAGTAGCACTAGGTTTAGAGGCAAGGTTCAGAGTTAGTGTTGTGTGAGCATTTTAAAGCAGTTGAGTTTAAACAGGAGCGGATTTCTCCTGAAGAGATGGCCATCATCGTGAATCTGTAAGTAGGATTTCTTCTGCTTCTTTTTTTTAATCTTCTGGCTTGGGGTCCCCCACACGGCCAGCATCCCCGTGGAATTTAACCCCTTCCTGAACAGCTTAACTTCTCTTCCCACCCCCTCCCTTTCCCCGCCTTCCCATTCTCCCTCAAATCTCATTGCAGCTCAGCTGGTTAGAGGGAGCTGCAGATAGCACCAAGGTTGCAGGTCTGATTCCCATAAGGTACAGCTGCATATTCCTGCATTGCAGGGGGTTGGATTAGATGATCCCCAGGGTACCTTCCATGAGCATTATTTGGGGATGCTTTTGATTACATTCATAGCCCACTTTTCATCCAAGCAGTTCAAGGTGGCATTGATGGCTTGCCTTTCCCCCTGTTTTTCCCCTCACAACAAACCTGTTAGGCAGGCTAGGGTGAGAGTGACTGGACCCAACATCAAACAGTGCACTTCATGACTGAGTGGGGATTTGCACTCGGATCTCCCAGGTCCTCCTAGTCCAGAATTCTAGCCACTATACACCCCCCTCTCTCTACCCCTTCTCCGTTTCTCAACTCTTCAGCCATCAACTGCAACAGACAGGCGTTCTGTCAGTCTTCCTGTCAGTCACTCTGGCTCTAAGAGAGTTTTCATTGCATTCTTCGGCTCATCTATGCCTTGATGCTTTGACGACCTTCCTAGCAGCCCCGTTCGCTCTCCAGGCAGGGCTGCTGTCCTAACAGCATTATGCTGAGGGCTCTTTTAAATGCTGGAAATGCTTCCCTTATCTTTCCTTTGCTGGGGGTGGGGGTGGGGGGAGTGTTGGAATCCCCCCCACCCACATACATGAGATGCACCACTGTGTTCCTGCGGAGAGCCGTTTGGGGTCTGAGGGTGCATAAAAAAACAAAAAGAGCCCTATTGCGTGGCGAGTTCCCCCCCCCCAAGTGGAAATAAAGACACATGACATAATTATTTAAGGTTAATGGGCTAAATATGGCCACAACTTTATTGGTTACAGGTGATGAGTGGTATTGGCTTAGGCATTGGTCCTAACCGACTATCCGGCTTCAGCCTGTCCGCTTGAAGTCCGGGAAGGGTTAACCACCAGTAGGGGGAGTCCTGCTGATGCACATCAACTCGGGAACCCCCCCCCCGGGGGTCATCGCTCAGGGGCGTGCCTTAGGCCCTCACCTCCATAGTCTTCGGACAGGGCCACGTCCAGGGGCTGACGCGGCCGGGGATTCCCTCAGTCGCCCGCAACTCCACCTCCTTTGTAGGCGGAAGTGGCTTTGCTGGATCAGAGGAAAAGCCCGTCTAGTCCAAACTCACAAGCAGTAGCCCACTCCTGCTGCTTCTCCTCTAGCTGTTGGCTTCAGAGGTAGAGTGCCTCTGTTCCTGGAAGCTCTATATTGCTATGTTGAGTAAAAGTAAGAGATGCTGTTGTTCTCCTCCAACAATTGGTGTAATCTGCTTCCCAGCCCTGCAGGCTACTTGTCCTTGTAGCATCGGCTGCCTGCAAATTTCAGCAACGGAGTAAACATGAAGTGAAGAAGGTCCCACCAGCATTCTCAAATGAGTTGATTCAAAGCTCTCCCTCCATCTGCTTTCTCTCCAAGGCCACGATCATCTTGGATAACTCCTTCCTGCTCCTTTCCTTTGTTGGTGTTTTAAATAATAAATAAATAAACAAACAAATGATTGAAGATTTCTTAGTTTACAAAAAAACGGTGCATTGTCTCTTTTTTCCAGTTGTGTTTTCTACAGATCAGTTTCATTTGTTGTGAGATATTAATGTTGCATGCAGTGTTGGGTTAGGAAGAACAGAGGGGGGAAGAGGGGGAGGGTGGGGTCGGGTGGCAATGCTTCTCTTCTACTTAGTGTACAGGGGAAACTCGGGAAATTAGAATATCGTGGAAAAGTTCATTTATTCAAGTAATTCAACTTAAAAGGTGAAACTAATATATGAGATAGACTCATGACATGCAAAGCGAGATATGTCAAGCCTTTATTTGTTATGATTGTGATATTATGGCGTACAGCTGATGAAAACCCCAAATTAACAATCTCAGAAAATTAGAATATGAAATGAAATCAGCAAAACAAGGATTGCAAATAGAGAATAGAGATTGACCTCTGAGAAGTAGACGTTTCACCTTTTAAGTTGAATTACTGAAATAAATGAACTTTTCCACGATATTCTAATTTCCCGAGTTTCCCCTGTATGTGTGGGGTTTTGTGTTAGCATCACTTGTGTGGGTTCACTTACTATTCCCTTGTTGCATTTCCTTGGTGGTGAGAGAGGTTGGGGGGGTGACCTAGGGTGTGGTTGGTGGTCTTTGGTTGGCTGCAGGGAGATTTGTTTTTGTGTGTGAGTGGGCACCTAGGGTACAAATAACCAGAAACCTCCTCAAACTATACCTCCACAACTACAACCCCTCGTGGCGACAAATCAACAAATACCCGAGGAGATGCAACAACACCAAATGCTCCTTTCCTTGTTGATATGATGTCCCGCAGCCGAAGTAGGGTGTGAAATGATACGGGTCTGCCTGCAACTGTTAGGCCACCCGTATTTGTGTTATGGCTATGCTGCAAAGACTCCCTGCCTTCTCTTACACACACGCACACCATTTTGGTTGTAGGCTTCTGTCTCAGGTTTTGAAATGTGTTGGGGAGGGGGCTTTACTGGGTTGCTTTTCACCTTTATTATGCATTTTGTGTTTTTATATTGCGATTTTTATGTTGTAACCAGTGCTTTTTTCTATTAAAAAAAGGTTTGGGGTACTCTCATTTTGACTCATAAAATCACCATTTTATAGTTCAAATCCGGGAAAATAAATGCAGTACAGTAAATGGACAAAAGTGCAAAGATTCACAAAATGTTTTGGGGTGTGCGTACCCCTGCATCCCCCCAGAAAAAAGCACTGGTTGTAACTGAGACCTGTGGGTATAGGGCGGTATAACAACAACAACAACAACAACAACAACAACAACAACAACAACAACGACAACAACAACAACAACAACAAGGTCTGCCCCTCTCCTTCTCTTCTAGGTTCAGGCGACTGAGGGACATGGCAGCCCGCAAGAAGAAGGGGACCCGCAAAGTCCCCAAGAAGCCCAGGGTTGCTGTGGGCCCACGTGAGCAAATGCTTCCTTTTCATTTTGGAGCATAAGGAGGGGTGGCCTTAATGCTCTAATACTCAACTGTGGAAAATAAGTAGAAATGAACTAACCTGCCCCCATGTCCTTTCCTTCTTCTCTTGTTGCAGATGGTTCAGAGGCTGGCAGGGTCTGGGCATCGCCTGTGGTTAGTTCATTGCCACCTCAATGAACAGCATCCGACCTCACCAACTTTGCCTAATTCTTCCTCCCCGGCAAAGCCCTTCCTGCCTGTTAATGTTACCAAATCACGGATTCAATCAACACAGAAGAAGACTTTATCCGCACAAACTAAAATTACTGATTTCCTTATGGGTCCTCGCTCTACCTCCAAGAACCCATTAAACAACTCAAAGTGACAATTACCGGGACAGCACAAGGACCCGACATTATCAATACTTAGCTGGAACATTGCTGGTTGGAGAACCAAAAAATCAGACCCCGAATTCAGGAAGTACATAAATTCATTTAACATCATCCTATTCCAAGAAACATGGGATGAGGAAGAGATTACCATAGACGGTTTTGATCTTCTAACACTTCCGGCCTCCCCTTCCTTGAAAGGTGGTCGCCCCAAAGGGGGTCTTTTGATTGGGATCTCACTCCAACTTCGCGCCAAATTCACCCTGGTACGGGCTTCCCCGCCTTTTGCTCTTTCTGGACTGATCGCAGAAGGGAAGTCCTCATTACTAATTACTAATGGTTATCTCCCCCCCGAAGGCTCAGCACCTGATCTTGATTGGAGATGGGAATCATTTGAAAATCACCTATTGTCATGTCATACCAAATGCCCTAACTCGTACTCCTTAATTGGGGGAGACTTTAATGCTCGAATTGCCACAAATTGGGACCTACTAATCAAGTCCAAATGGTGGACTCCCCATGTTTGGGCAACTTTGACTTGGAACATGCTAGAATTAGAACTTCAAAGGACAACAGAGTAAACAAAGCTGGAGTGACCCTTTACCAAATGGCCATTCGCCTGAATCTAGTATTCTTGAACGGCACCTTCCCCCCCGATATACCGGGGGAGTTCACTCACCTGGGACCAGCATCTAACAGTGTTATCGATTACCTCTTGATCTCCGCAAATTTGGCCGTCAATGTACTCTCCTTCCAGGTTGAAAACCAACATTTCAGTGATCACCTCCCAATAGTGACCACTTTGTCATTGTTCCGGTACCAGAAGGACTATAAACACTCAGTCCCTCTGGAAACCTCATCAGCGACCAAAATAAGTGGGATCAAATGGTCGGAGGCTGTGGCCCAAAAATACCAGGATTTTTTCCATAGGGAAATCACTGCCTATCTACCTCAAATAGCTACTGATTTACAAGATTCCAATTCGGTTTTGAAATTTTTAACCTTCTTACAACAAACCTTACCACTTTTTTACATTACCTCCTCAAAAGGCGAAAGTAGCGCATTGCAGTGCTGGGGCCCCTTGGTTTAATACCTCTTGCAAACAAGCAAGATCCCTTCTTCGTTCCATCTATAATGAATACAAAAACTCTAATGCCCAGGCTCTACCATCCTCCTATTTACAAGCCAAAAGAGCATACAAACAGACTTTAAAGCTGGCCAAACGTGAGTGGTATCTAAAGCGTTGGCGAGCCTTGATTGCGGCCTCTAGATCCCGCAGACCACAGGAATTTTGGGCTTTGATAAACAAAAGAGGAAGGAAGTACCCACTGACGATTATCCCTGCGCCCACATGGGAACAATTCTTGAGCAAATATTTCTCCTTGGCAGAGGAATCCAACTCATCCACTGAATTCCGAGCCGACCATCTACCTTTGTGGCCCTCTACCGACCCAGACCTGATAATGGACTTGATATTAGAGCTGTAAGCGGGCAAAGCCCCCGGGCTGGATCTAGTCCCTGCTGAGGCTATTGTTGCGCAACCGAGGTGGTGGGCTGAAATCCTGGCCAAAGTCTTTGATGCAATTAATTCTACGGGGCTTATCCCTAGGTCATGGAAGGAGGCCGTGATCGTGCCAGTCCATAAAAGGGTCCCCCTGCTGACCCGGAGAACTATCGGAACATCAGCCTTTTGTCTATCATCGGGAAAATCTATGCAAAATTTTTGCTGTCCAAGCTGTCCAATTGGGCAAACGACTCAAATTTGATTGGCCACGAGCAAGCGGGCTTTAGGAACAATTATTCGACCACTGACCATATGGTAATCATGTATCATCTTGCCAGAAAATATTCTGCCCCGAGTCGGGGGCGCCTATGTGTCGCTTTCATAGACCTAAAGGCCGCCTTCGACAGTATCCCAAGAAACTGTCTATGGAAGAAATTAGAGAGATGGGGCATAGATAGAAGGCTGTTATGGCTTATAACCCAATTACACCATGGGTCGTCGGCTAGAGTGAGACTCACACCGGCGGGAAACCTATCCAACGAGGTCCCAATAAATAGAGGTGTGCGCCAAGGTTGCATTTTGGCCCCACTCCTCTTCAACTTGTTTATTAGCGATATGAAGCTCTTTCTGAATGAGTCTCAAGCCAACATTCATGCCCCCCGCCTAGCTGATTTTCGCTGCCCTCTGCTCTTATATGCCGACGATGCAGCGATCCTTTCCTACTCTAGAGTCGGTTTATGCAGAGCTCTAAAGATTTTTGCGGCTTATTGCAAACTCAACCATCTGACAATTAATCATGGGAAATCTAAAGTCCTGGTCTTTACCAGGTCTCGGAAAACTTACAGCTGGAAGTTAGATGGAGTCCAATTAGAACAAGTTTTCAAATTTAAATACCTGGGAGTCTTTTTTCACTACAACCTAAGCTGGAAGCCACAGATACAGTATTTACTAAACAAAGGGAAAACAATACTTTATACTCTACTCCAATTTTTGCGGCCGACGGAGCCTCCCACATCCCTTCTGCATTGAAGGTGTACCATGCAAAAGTGGTTTCCACCCTCTGTTATGCTGCCCCGCTCTGGGCCCCAGGGTCCAATTTAACATCGTTGGGGACATTGCAGAATCAGTTTCTCCGTCGCCTCCTGAAACTCCCCATGTGTGTGAGCAACGCAGCCATACGTCTGGAGTTAAGGATTGCATCATTGGAGACGGTCATCTGGAAGCGAGTCTTTGGTTATTGGCTGTCCAGCTGGCACAGGCTTCCCAACCATTACCTTTTTCAGTGCCTCTGGCGGGACGACTTTGTCAATCCATGGGTAGGAAAAATCCATGCCAAACTTCTGAGCATCGGAATTTCCCCAGCGGACTCCTTAAAGATGAACTTACGCTCAGCCAAAAGACTTATTGAGCAGAGATTAGCAGACATTGAAAATCAACACAACCTCGCCGGGGTGAGGGTGTCTGCTCCCCAGGTATCACGGAATAACCTCACCACTTGGCCTTCCATCATACATGTCATCTCTTTCATCTGTACCACACCGACATGCATTTATTCGTGCAAGGTTCAATGTCTTTCCATCGAACCTGCTGAGCCACAGATTTTCCAAGGGTTTGGTGTCTCCGCTATGCGTGTGTGACGGGAAAACTGTTGATTCTCTCTCACATATAATGTTCAACTGTCCCCGACATAGCATAGCCAGGACTAAATTCCTGGGCCCTGCTTTACTGCGCTTGGTTGGCAGGCCTGCTGAGTCACATGCCGCACTACTTTTGCAGGATACAGATCCTTCTGTAACTCTGCAGGTGGCGAGATTCCTGAATGCAGTTATCTCACACACAAAAACCACCAAAAACAACAACATCAAAAACTAATCGGTCAGTTTTGAAGAGAGTGCATGTCGGATCCCGTCTTCAGTTCTCCTTTTCTGGGATCCGTCCCTTGGAGCTCTCCGGGCCCCAAGCTGTTATCTGGCTCTGCTCAATGACCCACCCCTGCATCATGGTGTTCACCTTCTGGTGCCGAATATATTAGTCTTTATGCCTCTGTGCCTTTATGTTTGTACATACTTTATGGGCTAATAGCCGTAAATAAATAAATAAATAAATAAATAGTATTTGAGAAAACAGCACAGTACATACGAAATCCCTCACCCCCACCCCCCCATCCACCAGTGCTGTCTATACCCCCATTTTGGTGGTCTCAGATGCAGAGAAGCCCTCCTGCCATGAACTGACAGCCTGACTCTTGCCATTTCAGCAACTGGAGAAGGATGAGATGTTGCTCTGCTGTGTGCTGGCCACTTGCTCGGAGGCCCGCGCGAGAGAAAAGGACAGGTTGAGGTACTCCAAAAAGATGGCCGTCAAGGCAATTGCGGTGAGTGAGAGGTTGCATGAGGTATCCAGGGGTGAGGTGGGCAGGAGAGCTGGGGATGGGATTGGGGGGGATGCTGGGCAGAAGGAAGGCCTGGAGGGGTCTGGCCAAGAGAAGGGTTGTGCAGGCATTTGGCATGAAATTGCCAATTCCTGCACTGAGCTTGGGGTTGGAGGAATCCACCTGATGTCCGTAGGGAACTGACGTTTCCCCCCTCCGCCCTCTGTTCTCTATCAGGATCTCATGGGACGGATTGCGTGCTTTACGCAGCCTGAATTGGCCCTTGCTATGGCACTGGAAGCCCTTTACCAACTGAGGTATACCGGGTTTTTTGAGCTTGACGAGGAGCTGGCGGGGGGCAGAATGTGGAAAGGTGTTACCAGACCTTGCCACTGCAGTGAATTAGATTGGAAGAATTGCTTACAATTTCTTGGGTTTCTTGAGTTCAAAAGCTTTCTTTATGCAGCAACTATTTACAGGATGAGTGGAGATGTGAGAGAGAAAATAGAAGATATATTGTCTAGAGATGACTGCGAAATGGCTCAGCTTTTAGGGGTGGGATTAACTAAGACCTAGAGGCTTGCAACCAAGTGCCAGGTAGACTGCCACATAAACAGTGCCCTCGTGTGTTTATTTTAATTTTACCTTTATTCATTTTTACCCTGTAAAATCTATACGCTGCTTGATTGTCAAAAGTGGTTTAAGCTAACACATGCATTCACTAGAACTTCAAGAGAATGGAATGTATTTGATGCTTCCCCCAATATGAGACAGAGTCTAAAAAGGTTTCCCTCCTTCTCTCCAGCCTCATGAAGCCCAAATTACCACTGAAGCTCCACAGCCTGATTGTGCATGCAGCCTTTGCAGCGGTCATTGAGGTCAAAACTGAGCCCGACAAGCAGGTAAGTTGTTAGCCTTGAAATTTGACTTCTATAGTTGTTGTTTCTTCTTCACACGCTTTAAGCATTGCTCCCATTGCTCAACATCTGATCTCTCTTTCCCCTGCTTGGCGCATCCTCTCCCTCATTGACGTTGCCTGCAGGAGTTAGAGGAACGTTATACTCTGATGCTGGGAGGCCTCCTCTGGGAGGCCCCAAGCACTAAGATCCTGAACTTGCTGATGAATGTAAGTATCTTGATGGCCTCAGTGGCTGTTTGACCTAGAAAGCTTTCATGGAGAAGCCGCCACCTAGCAGTGCACCTCTTGGGCCCTTCCCCTCTTGTAAGGCAAGCTGGCCACATGGACGAGCCAGCAAAGGCCCACTTGCCCAGACAGCCAAAGGAGGGCCTTGGATGCAGAGCTACAATTTGGGGCTGGAGGACATTGCCATTTTAGAACAGAAACGGATCTCTCTCTGAGAGTGTAAAGGGCTTCACAGTGGTCTGCCTCTCTCCCCCAGAGCAGCCTCCTGATTCTGAGGTCCCCTTTCCTCCCACAGGAACTGAGAGGTTACACAACAAGTGCGATTGCAGCGGAGAGGCAACTGGCAGCCAGTGGCATTAGCTGGCTGATGTCCTGTGCAAGAAGGCTCAGTTGCCTGAAGGTAAGTCTCTCACCTTTGGCACCTTCACAGCCCCAAGAGGCTCCCAGAGTGGCTTGTGAAAGGATTCCCACAGGAGGAATCACAGTCTGGTATCAGGCACACAACACAATGTGTGTCCCTGGGATGCCGGACCAGGCTGGAGACATTTCCTGCCCTCTTCCTTGATCTTACACTTCCACCTTGGGGCCAGGCAATAGAACTCACTCATCCCATGATGGAAGCAAGTCTTCCCTGGCTTGGGTCTGCTTCCATGTTCTCTTGCACCCATTATTTTTTTTGGGGGGGAGGGTTGAGGATCAGATCAGTCATCTGATCCAGTACGGTCTTTTCTTTTCCCTACAGCATGCTCTCGTCCCTCTGGAGCTGGCTCACTTCTGCCCCAAAGAAGGTAACACCCACAGCCTGGGGACATGGGACACACTTTCCAGACTAAGGAGAGCCCACTCAGTAGCTGCAGCATCCTTGCTTGATGCAGACCTCCTGGGTCATGTGGCTGTGAAATCCTGCCGCAGCACAAAGATGGCCAAACTCCAGGCTCGGAAGGAGTCGTTGCCACCAAAGACAGGATCCATAAAGCCTCCTTGTAAATAGGGTGGAATGGGGGCCAGGTCAATTTGGTGAATCAGTAAATGTGGCAGAAATTCATCTCTCTACTCCTTCATTCTCTTCCAGATGACATAAGACTTGATGTCAGTTTCGATTATGGGGATAAGACACAAGTTTCAAGGCTCAGCGATGATGGAGTGGTAAATTTTTGCTTGCTGTTTCATTGTGTCTTGTTGCTAATTGTGATCATTGCTGTTGTTTTAGAATTCTTTCCTATGCAATATTAGTTTTTATTGCTTTTAAATTGTTGCTTTTTAAATTGTCCTTGTAAAGGAAAGTGTTCTGCTAATGTTGATTGTATTCTGAATTGCTTCAAGAAGCCTCATAGCAATGAATAATATTAAGAGTAATAATTATTTTACCTGCCTTAATTATAATAAAGCATTGACATGCATATTTTAAATTAGCGGTTAAGGTCTTAAACTACACATTTTAATAGTTTCACATCTGTATTCTTTACTGTGTTCTAGCTTATAGATTTTGATTTTAACCTACGTATATATGAGAGCCAGTGTGGTGTAGTGGTTAAGAGCGGTAGTCTCGTAATCTGGGGAACTGGGTTCGTGTCTCCGCTCCTCCACATGCAGCTGCTGGGTGACCTTGGGCCAGTCACACTTCTCTGAAGTCTCTCAGCCCCACTCACCTCACAGAGTGTTTGTTGGGGGGGAGGAAAAGGAGAATGTTAGCCACTTTGAGACTCCTTAGGGTAGTGATAAAGCGGGATATCAAATCCAAACTCTTCTTCTTCTTCTTCTTCTTCTTCTTCTTCTTCTTCTACATGTTCTCTATCTCTGTAGAAGTCCATACTCTGGTTTGTGACTGTAATAAATTGATTCATACATTCAATAAAGCTTCGGTGGTTTTGAAATTCAGTAAATTGTCTCTGCCTCCATTTTTTGGTATTGAGGGAAACGCTCTATAAAATAATCAGAAAACATCAGGGTTGTAGTCAACATCAGTCCTTTCCACAGCAGACCTATTTAAATTGATGGGCACAAATTACGTGGCTGTGTTGATTTTGACGCATCTCTTCTGAGTAAAACTCAGTTGACTACTCCTCACAGGATATCATGGAATTGTAGAGTTGGAAGGGACCACAAGAGTCATCTAGTCCACCCCCCTGCAATGCAGGAATATTTTGCCCAACGTGGGGCTCAAACCCACGACCCTGAGATGCAGAGTCTCACACTCTACTGACTGAGCTATGGGCAGATATCTTGTTTGATAAATGTGTCCCTTGGAAACATTTTGGTTTTATCCTCTCTGCAGGAGTTGCTATGCCTGATCATTCCATCTAGTTCTGTCGAAAGAGAGGTGGGGGTTGTTTTCTGATTTCTTAATTGTGAATATTTGGGGGGGAGGGGAGGCATGGGTGGAAAGGAGATACTCAGATGGACCAGAGTGAAATGGGGGCTTCGGGATGGCTTGGGGAATTCTCAAAGTGTCACATCCAAACCAAAACTCTGGGTTGTTGGATGCCCCTGCCTTCTGTCATCATTTGAGCTTTCCTCTGCTTCCCTTTCAAGCTGCTGTCTGGAAGGAGGCCAAAGCCCACTTAAACATAAGAATGATTATAAGAAAGCATTCATTCAACAGCCAGAGTTGAATGAAGACGATGTGCTAGGAGGAGAATGAGCTAATTAAACCATTCTGCAACACACACACACACACACTGCAATCCGAACCCCAGTGCTGTTATGAGGACAATGGTCACAACCACACATTTCAAGAACCATTGCACTAAGAGTCACAGATTCACCCAACACATCCTGGGAACCTCTGTTTGCTACAGATCTGACATCTCTCAGCACCCTTGGCAAACTACAGTTCCCAGGATTCTTGAGGGAAAGCCTGGACTCTTTCAAGTGGTGTAAGAGCTTTAAATGAGTGGTGTGGAATTCCTCCAAAATAATCGGGGAACTGTGCAACCCTCTCTCTTTCAGGCTACGGTCCTGCCCCAGGCTCAGGAGGAGGAGGAGGAAGAGGAGGGCTCTTTATTAGATTAGGTTTGTATCCTGCCTTTCTATTTTCATGCTCAAGGCAGCTAAACCGTCAGAACTACATAAATCAATTATAATAATCAATACAATAAGAATAGCAATAAGAATTATTTACCAAATCTAAATAATCTGATAGAAAATTGAGGGAGGGGTGATCTCTCCATCGGCTGCAGTCTTTAGACACAACATTTCAATGAACATTATTGTTATTGTTATTATTGTTGTTGTTATTATTATTATTATTATTATTATTAATTTCATTTCTATACCACTTTATATTTTCAAGAAAAAAATCAAAGCAGTTTACAGCATATTAAAACATAAATAAAACAATCTGAAGAATGTCAAATATAGAGTATACAGTTAAAGCAACATAGTTAACCAAAAACTGAAATATTAAAGATTTCAAAATAAAACATTACAAAGGAAGTCAACTACAGAATACATATTTGACACAAAGTTAACAAAAAAAAAGAAAAAACTTAAGCATTCCCCCCCAAAAAAACCAACATTGCTAAGTAAAGTCAAATATACAATGCACATTTAAAACAGCAGAATTCCCAAGAGAATAAAATATTATCATAAGCATGACACTGCTGTTTAGCAGGCACAAAAAGATGGGGCAAAAGAAACCAATAGTTTGGGTTTCTTGTCAGGCCGAGCGATGTCCCTCTGGTCTCACCAGGAGCCTCTTTAGTAGAGCTGGTGTCTGGGCCCTGCCCCCCAGGCCAGGTGGAAAGGGCCTTGCAGAAAGCGGCCTTCACAACTCACAACCGGCCAAGGCCATCATGATGACACAGAGTTCAATAGGGCAAGGTTTCTGGCAGGTAGGCATCTAAAGCCTACCAGATTGTCCACGCAGACCTTGTTGGTCCACTTGCAACCTCTCTAGGTGGAGCAAAGTACTTCATGGTATTGATTGATGCTTTTTCCAGGTACATTCATGTGTTCATACTCAAGCAGAAATCAGAAGCGTTTCCGAGGTTCAAGGAATTCTGTGCTTGGTTGCAAAATGTCCATGGAAAGCAACTGCAAAACCATTGGTTGGCTTTCATTGAGTTCTGTGGACACAGTAAAAAAAAGCTGCCATCTGGTTTCTCTCGGGATGTTCGGATTGTGGAACACAGATTTGCTCTCCACCGTAACACTGTCTCTCAGCATACCACTTTATTTCCCCCCAGACAGGTGGCTACTATTCACTTGTAGGAAGATGTGCTTATTTAGATTACAACATTGCAGTGGGAGCAAAAGCCACCTTTCTTCTCTCAAGAGGGTTAGTCGAGTTTCTGTTGTTACGGAAAAATCCAGGTGGGAGGCTGCTCAAAGCCCGTGGGTCCCTGCAGAACAAAGAAGGAGTCCAGCCACCAACTGGAGCAAATAGCGGAGACCAAAGTTGATTGCGCAACAGGTTCAGAGAGGAATTGAACCCCGAGAACGGGGTGACAAGGACTTTAAAAGTTCCTATCTTATCCCAGCAGACAGTTCGCTAAACATCACCACTCCATCAGAAAAGGGGAGGGTTATACATGATTAACATAGGAGGAATGTGTTGGGGTAACATGCAAATACAGGATATGTCTTGGGAAGTACATGCTAAGCACCTACTGCAAGAGGACAATAGAACTTTGGTTTGCATAGTCTGCCGCCTGGGTAAGTCCGGAGGAGAGCTTTTGCCCAGCGATTGTCACCTACGGGTAAAGTACCTTCCTGTGAGTAGGTGACCTCCCGCTTGGAGAATTCTGGTGGGGACCGAGGGGTTCCCAAGTCCTTGGCCAACGAAGCAGACTGGCGGAGGAATGAAGCGAATCGGTGAAACCAGTGGTTTTCTATGAATTTCCAAGCGTTTTTAGGCTTCTTTAATACAGACGGTTCTTTTCGGAAGTGGCCTGGCCTGACATTGCTACATTGTATCTAGCTGGAGCATAAAGAAGGTTGATCGCTGAAGAATGGATGCTTTTAAATTCTGGTGCTGGAGGAGACTCTTGAAGGTCCCATGGACTGCAAGAAGATCAAACCTCTCCATTCTGAAGGAAATCAGCCCTGAGTGCTCACTGGAAGGACAGATCCTGAAGCTGAGGCTCCAAGACTTTGGCCACCTCAGGAGAAGAGAAGACTCCCTGGAAAAGACCCTGATGCTGGGAAAGATGGAGGGCACAAGGAGAAGGGGACGACAGAGGATGAGATGGTGGGACCGTGTTCTCGAAGCTACCAGCATGAGTTTGACCAAACTGCGGGAGGCAGTGGAAGACAGGAGGGCCTGGCGTGCTCTGGTCCAGGGGGTCACGCAGAGTCGGACACGACTAAACGACTAAACAACATCTAGTTTTGATTGGATTAACAGGGTAACGAGGTTTCGATTGACTCAGTCCGTTGTTCTCGCAGCGGGAGCTGTCATCATCTTGTCAGCGCTCAGTGGAGCTTGCAAAACAGCTGGAGCTGAGCTGCCTCTGCAGAGCCATGGCATTGCTGCGATTGGCTGAAGGGCTACATTCAACGCCATCTGATTGGCTAGAGCGCATCCTCATGCAAATACATTGTTCATTCATCAAATACATTGATCGTGTATAGCATCGGGATACGGGGTCAGAAATGGCGCTTTCTTCTCGGGGTTTTGGACTTTTGTGCGGTGCTTGGTGCAACGTTGTGACGGGGCGAGGGGAGTCCTAGTGTGGCAGGGTTCCCTTGAGGTCATTGCCTCGGGCTCCACGTCTCTTACTCGGGAGTAAGACTTCGTTCATATGCCCCCCCTCCATTCCGTAACACTCTTCATATGGACTTCATGGAGTGTGCACTCTTGCAGGGTCTGCTTCCAGAAACTACTATTGCAGATGTAGATATTTTGGCAGAAATGGTTTACAAATATGCACGATGGCAAGCAGAGAGACAGGAACAGTTACAAAGCAAACTTGGTCCTGCCTAGCCTGGAAGCTGTTTCCAACTAGTGAAATGGAAACCTTTCAGCAACCTTTACAACCATCTACAAACCCCGAAGTTTGTATTTTCTTGAGCTTTCTCTAGAGAAGGGGCTGTTTTGTATATTGGAGCAGAATAGTGTATTAGCTCTCATGTTTTGTGTAAAGCAAGCCCTTGTTAAGTACCGTCAGCTGAATTGGGCTTGTGCCCAGATCTTAGCACACTAACCGATGAAACAGGTAAGGGTAACCTCTGGCCCTCCAGACGTTGCTGAACTACAATTCTCATCATCCTGCCCATTGGCAATGCTGGCTGGGGCTGAGGAATTTCAAGGAAGCTTTCGACTTGCCCCGACCTACACCTACCTACCCACTGAACGAAGGAGCAAGAAAGCAAAAGGCAAGTTCAGCATTCCAGAGTTTTCCAAATGCCATGGGGCTCCCTTGCCAATTGATGGTAAAGCAAGCCATTGGACAGGCCATCATGCATGAGGACAGTTTTTCGAATGGATTTGAATCACACTTGGACTTTTTTCTAATTCAAGATAGTGCCTCACGGAAGCAGGGAGCTTTGCAGAGTCCTTTGGAGACTGTGGAAAAGATTGCGCAAGAGAGAGGCTTGGCACCAGAAGAAATTCAGAACTTGCTGAACATCGCACTCAGTGCCAAGCTTGGTAAAGAAAACATGTTTTGCCTTCTCTTTCCCCTTGGCAGCAAAGTATGTCAACGGAGCTGCATTGCCCTGCCTTCTCCCTTAACAAGAACCGGGGCTGCTTCGAGCTTGTGAGAAATTATCAAGAGTGAAGATGTTCAGAATGTTAAGCAGTGTCTTTCAATGTCTTGCAGGCACAGTGATAAGCACTAGGCTACTGAAGACTCTGATTCCCATTTCCGTAATAACAGAGGATTCTCTTCTTTCAGCTGTGTCTTGGCTCTGTGCTCGCAAGTGTTCTAGTGACTTTCAGGTAACTTGGAAAGCATGGTGATACGGAAGGGGGGGCATGTCTTCTTCACCTTCTTCTTCGCTACAATATATCCATTTATTTCCAATTGTCAATGTCAAAAGGGACTAAAATCTATAAAATTCATAGAAAATCAACGTGCCAATTTGCTCAATTTCTCTAGGACTCCATGACACCTCCCCTGTCCTCCATAATCCCTCAAGCAAGGTGTCAAGACCCTAATCCTGTCAAATCGCTCTGCCAAGCCCTTCCTCCGGGCGATGCCAGGTGACAGACTATGCATACATGGACCATTGTCTTCTCAGGATGTGCTTATCTGCGCATATCTCCAGCTCTGCATATTCCCCCCTCCCTCCTCCATATGTTAATCCGGTGTAACCCAACCTCTTCTTAATGTATTCATGATGTAACTGGGATGTATTTTGCACTGTATTCTGGGACATGGAGGGAAATTTCAAAAGTTCATGTCACCCCTTTCTCGCTGTTCAATCTCGCCTTGAACCTGTTGCGCAATAAACTTGGATCTTCTGCAGTTTGCTCCTGTCTCCGGCTGAGCTCATTTTTCTTCCACAGGGACCCGCGGACTTAGTCCGACGAGCTGGGTGGCAGAGTAGCCCCGCACCCAGATTTTACCGTAACAATGGTAATGATGTCTTGGTTCTGAAGAATGATATTTCCCCCAGTCTGACTTAGTTATCCTGGTGATGATTCAGCTAGATGTTGTACACGCTGACCATATTCCAGAAGGGGTTGGTTGTCTTGGTCTTGCTTTGGCTTACTGAGATCTGTCTTCTCCCTATAGGTGTTCATTCTAAAATGGATAATTGTAACGTTTGACTTCATTGATCAGAAGGAAAATATGAATGCTCTCTATGGTTTCTTCTTCCGCTTCTTACAATATGAGAAACTGGTAAGATAAAAAGGAATGTGTTATTTTGAAGGAACTCGCTTTTATTCTGACATTAACCCAAATCAAACAATAAAGAGTACTTTCCGACCACACAACAGGACACCATGTGAAAAGTGGGGCCTTACAAAAACCTCTCCCATTTCCTTCCTTTTCCTGTCTTGTTCCTTCCCAATGGGCGCTGGTCGCAGCGCCCCCCGGGTGCACGGCATGTTCAGGCAGGCAGGCAGGCAGGCAGGCAGCTATCCGATGTCGATCCTGCCCGTTCCTCCCTCCACCCCCCTCAAAGACAGCCGCACAGGCAGCTATCCGATGGAGGGAGGGGGGGGAATCCTGTTCTGCATAGCTATCAATTCGGGTGTGATAGTCTTATGTTTGCATACTTATGGGAAAATAAAACTAATTTATTTTAGAGCTTGTATTTGTGTGTATTCATGGTATCATTTGTAGACCCAGTAGATGGCAGTGTGGTGTGGAGAGTATTTTTGGCAGCTCGTGAAAGGATAGAGGGTGGAACGTTGACCGTTCAAAGGCACTATAAGCAATATAAATATGTCAGGGAACTGCCATCAGTGTCTGAGGGAGAGAGCAAGCTCCAAAGGGATCCCGGAGAGCGTCCCGGGAGTGGGAGAGGCAGCCCCTCTTCCGGGGAAGAGAATCAACGTAGCTCCAGTGGAGAAGGGGGGCAGATGGGGGAATCGGCGAGGCGGTCCCATGACTCCTTGCCGGGGACCAGTGGGGAGAGGAAGGGTCCTCCGCTGCCTACGCCCTCCTTGCGCAGAAGGCTTCTGCACAGGGAGAGTAGGAGGAGACTTGGCGTCAAAGAGCTTCTTTGCTGGAAGAAGTTTAAGAAACGCCCACTGATGGATTCTGCCAGCGATTGAGACAGTCACGGGCGAGTGGCTGCCCGGACAGGAAAGGTTCACTCAGGCAACCCAGCCAGAGGTTGGGACAAGCTTACGCACGAGAAACCCCTAGAACCATTACAATATATATCTCCACATTTTCCTAGCTACGTTTTCCCAGGAAAATATGAATGCTCTCTATGGTTTCTTCTTCCGCTTCTTACAATATGAGAAATTGGTAAGATAAAAAGGAATGTGTTATTTTGAAGGAACTCGCGTTTATTCTGACATTAACCCAAATCAAACAATAAAGAGTACTTTCCGACCACACAACAGGACACCATGTGAAAAGTGGGGCCTTACAAATCCCGCCCGTTCCTCCCTCCACCCCCCTCAAAGACAGCCGCGCAGGCAGCTATCCGATGGAGGGAGGGGGGGAATCCTGTTCTGCATAGCTATCAATTTGGGTGTGATGGTCTTATGTTTGCATACTTATGGGAAAATAAAACTAATTTATTTTAGAGCTTGTATTTGTGTGTATTCATGGTATCATTTGTAGACCCACTAGGTGGCAGTGTGGTGTGGAGAGTGTTTTTGGCAGCTCCTGAAAGGATAGAGGGTTGAACGTTGACCGTTCAAAGGCACTATAAGCAAGATATATATCCACATTGTCCTAGCTACGTTTTCCCATAAAAGAATACACTCGAATACATTTGAATCAAATACATTTGGAACAAGTGATTGTTACATTTAAGGAACATTCTCTAGGAGATGAGATTGGGGGGAAATACAAAAAACCCTTCGGATACATTTGGATACATTTAGAAAAGTACAGCATTTTGAGGAAAAATACATTTGAGTCGAAAAATACATTCAGATCCATTCTTAAAGTCAATGAGAAAGATACAGCGAAAAAGGATCCATTCCCCAAGGCACCGTTGACCTTCTTGTAGGGTGTGAAGGCAGAATACAATCTATTTGATATTGGTAGGGTCCTTCTCCTTCATTCCCCTCTCTGACCCTGACTCTCTTACGACACAGGGACCATCCCAGAGTGTGGGCACAACTTCTGCCGGTCCGGCCTGATCCAGTGCAGCGGGGCAAAAGGAGGCTGGCTTCCTGTCCTCAAGGCCGAGTTGGAATCCAGAGAAGGAGCCTCGTCCGCAATCGGCAATTGGCTACCTTTGTCGAAGTAGCCAAGACTCTCAGTCTTCAAGAGGGAAAGGAGGACTCTGTGAGAAGCACCAGGAGCCCCTGAAACTCTTTTGCAAGGAGGATGAAGCCCCCATCTGTGTGGTTTGGGGCAGATCCAAGAAGCACCAACACCACGAGGTGATTCCTCTGGAAGAGGCTGTCGAGGAATACAAGGTACCTTGAGGGGGAGAAATAGCTGTGTTTTCTTCTTGGCAGGTGATCTTCTGAATTCTCAGATCCAAAGTAGTCATGGTATTCATTGGTGGTTGTTTATTACCTTAGAAGCAGCCAAGGGGAAGCCTGAGGTCTGCTGGGATGCCTGGGAGGAGGGAGTCGAAGTCTTTCTCTCTACCAGGGGGGCCAAGGGATCTTCCCTTGAAATACAGCAGCTTCAAAGATTTGGGTTGGGACCATGGCAGGGAGAGAAAGGGTTAACCTCATCCACATCCCCCAGCAAGGTTGCTTTGTACATATTTAGAACACTACAAATGTGAATTGCACATGTCTCCTTTGGCTAGCAGGATGCCTCCTCAATACCCTGCCAAGCAGAGAGCAGCAAGGGGTCAGCTGAAAGGGGGTGAGGAATGGGGGCCAGTGTTATAAGGAAAAAAACGGCTCCTTTTCCCTTCTGGGGTACCTCAGAGCCCATATAGAGTCCTTTTGTCGCTTCTCTATCGGTAGGAGAAAATAACAGAGGCCAACCAGAGAATATTGAGAAGCAAAGCAGCTAGTAAGCCAGATCTTTATTACCTGTTGCAACAGGGTGCTCACACCCCCCCACGCAGGAGGGAGGAGGAGACCCCGAACCAAGTCCTTATATAGACATTTGAAATTGCCCACCCTGGAGCCCAAGACCACCCCTCCATACATCATACATACATCACAGAAGGGGTGGCCTACAACAGACTCCTGTCTGGCAGGAAACCTGTTGATGGGTTTACCTGGCTGTTCATGGGGTTACCTGGATATTCTTTTGTGATGAGAACTACTTACGGTATTTATGTATGTGTTCATATCTTAGACCTTCTAATTCTCCTAACACCAGGAATTGACCAGATGGTGCAGAATCCCCCCCCCCCAAGTATCTGTTGGAAGCAGATTTAGGAGTGGGGGGTGGAAGCACCTACTGGTGGGGAGCACACTTCTTCTGGGGATGCTTCCTCCTCCTCCTCCTCCTCCTCTTCCCACTTCTCGCTGGGGCCTCAAGATGAGAAGTCAGGCTGGAAGTCTCCTCGGAGAAGACAAAGGAGCAAGCATGGCTGCCTTTCCTCTTCTCCAGACCAGTTAGTTGGACTAGAACCCTTTCCCATCCCAGTTCTGCAGTGGTTTTAAGCAGTGTGCTGTGACAGATGGGGTGCCTTGAATGATGGTCAGGGGTGCCGCGGGAGACACTGGCCTCTGTCCCTCTTTCCTTCCCTCCCTCCACGGATCCCATCTCTGCCTCCCCAAGGCTTGCCCAGCTGTTCTCCCCCAGAGAATGGTGCCTCTGGGGCTGGCCAGGGGGTGTGGGCTGCCAGGAGCTGAGGCGGCCTCAGAGGAAGCAAGCCAACTGGCGAGGGGCCCTTGCTGTTGGGAATGGACAGGCAAGTCCCAGGCCCCTGGGGGGCAGCTCAGAGACCAAGAGGAGGACTCCTAAGGAGAGGGGAGAGGAGAGGAGGCTGAGAGAGCACTCCGCAAGGGAGGCTGTTCAAGAAAGGGGGAGAGGAGGCAAGCAAGGGGGGGACCTAACTGGTCTCCTGAGCCCCACAGGGGTGCCGCAGAAAGATGGGAGTTGGTCCAGGGAGCCGTGGACCCAAAAAGGTTGAAAACCTCTGTAACTTTTCTTTCCTCCAGTAAATTACTGTGCTATTATAGCAAGGCCACTGGACCCAAGAAGCCAGTAGAATATTCATCTTCTCTCTTTGTGTCTCAATCAAAGCTGAGTTTTCCCTTTTCTTGTCAGGGAGAGATCCGTCGCCGCCTGGAGATTCGGAGGAAAGAGAGAGGGGAAATTCTGACCTATCAAGCAGACCTGGACAAGGAAAGCAAAGACCTCCTTGGAAGTGTCCCTATTGTTACTAGTGAGGGAACAAGCACTTCAAGAAGCAAGTCCGGACTGAGGAGGGATGGGGAATTCTGCCCATTTCAACTTCTCCCCATTTCTCCTTTTTCCATATCGGTTTGTTATTTATTTATTATTCTGAAAATGAATCAAATGCTAGGGTGGCTACCTTCTCGTATAAAGATGTTGATACGTGCTTTGCCCTCATAAATACATTTTTTGTGAACATTACCTGGCTGGGTCAACCTTGAGAAATTCAGAGGTGTGAATTTCAAAAGATTGCTGTTTTGGTCTCCATATTTTTCCAAGAATTGCGAATTAGGTAAGTTCACCTTTGAATGCAGCTAAATAGAGTTTATTTCTCATTGTTGTTTATTATGTGAAAAGCAGTCAAGGAGAAGCCTGAGGACTTGTGAGCTGAGAGGGTGGAAGCAGTTCAATTCAAATCCTAATTCTCTTGCTGATGTTTTGAAGGCTGACCATCTTCCTCACTCAGACCTCCTCAGAACCGGAGAGGCTGAAGACTGTGGAGAAGTTCAGACAACTGCGCCAGTTCCTGGAAGAAGAAGAAAAGCGCCTGCTGAATCATGTGGAAGAGGTGGAGAAGGAGATTGCAGGGAGAAGGGATGAGCAGCTGGCCAGACTCTGCAGGAAACTCTCCTCTCTTGAGAGGATCATCCAGGTGATGGAGGAAAAGGGTCAGCAGCCAGCGAGTGAACTGCTGCAGGTAAGACGGCTCCAGGAAAAGGCTGCCTCCCATCCTTTCTGTGCCCCTTTCATGTACGCAAGGAGTGTAGGGGCTCAGTTGACGGAGCCTCGAGTCAGCTTTGTAATGGACAGGAAGACCCCAGAGACCTGGGATGCTGAACTCACCTGAATGCCCACTAGAGATTCTTCAGTCTTCTTGAGGGAAGGGGAGGGGATTTCCTGCTCCTTGCTGATGATTTGCCTCCGAATGCCTTCCCGCTGGGCAATGCTGCCTTCCTGCCCTGCCCTGGGCTTCGCCAAGGATGCAGTCAGGCCTCCTTCTGACATGAGCCAGTCTCTTGACCAAGCTTCTCTTCCCGTTCCCTCCACAACTTCTGGGTGGATCCCCTTCCCCATAGATCCTGATCGGCCCCAAATGGTGCTCGGTCACAGTGACCAAAGAGCAAGACAGAGGGACTCATCCAGACTGTGCCACCTTCTCCACTCACAATCCCATATGGCCAGACGTACAAGTGCTTCTGAACGCCCTCTTTAAGGAGGCTGAGAAGGCTGACATACTGGCAAAGGCAGGAGAAGCCCTATTACGGAATGATTGCCAGATGTCCCCGTCTCCCGGGGACAGTCTCCGGATTTACAAATCTGTCCCCAACAGATTGTAGATTTGTAGATTTATTAGTAGGGAAGGAATGTTGTGTGATTGGTTCAACGGCACAAGACACATCATATGGGGACTTCCGGCGAGGCAAAATGGCGGGTGCCACGGCAATGAGCAGCTCCTGAAGCCAGCCAGAGCCAAGTGCACTACCAGGCTGGCTTCAGGCTGCTGAGACTGCCGCCTGCGCTGCCACTGCCGAGGGGGAGCCAGGGATGCCCGGCGCGTCAACTGGGGGAACCGCTGACACCCCCCCAGGACCCAAATCGAGGTGGGAGCAAGAGCGCCCGGCCACGTGGCCGACTGCCCAGTGGCGCTCCAGGGGCAGTAAAAACCCCGGAGCCAACCCAGGGAGAAGGAGGAAAGGAGAAGGAGAAGGAAGAGAGAGAAAGAGGAAGGAGAAAAAAGAGGGGAGCCCCGACCTTGCGGCCGCTGAGGAAGAGAGGTAGAATCATAGAATCATAGAGTTGGAAGAGACCACAAGGGCCATCGAGTCCAACCCCCTGCCAAGCAGGAAACACCATCAGAGCACTCCTGACATATGGTTGTCAAGCCTCTGCTTAAAGACCTCCAAAGAAGGAGACTCCACCACACTCCTTGGCAGCAAATTCCACTGTCGAACAGCTCTTCCTAAGTTCTTCCTAATGTTTAGGTGGAATCTTCTTTCTTGTAGTCTGGATCCATTGCTCCGTGTCCGCTTCCCTGGAGCAGCAGAAAACTGTTGATTTAAAGCAGAGTCTGGTTGCCAGCGGAAGGATGAGGAAAATGTGCTGCATACTCCTTATTGCTTTATTTACAGTTCAAAGCTGGTATATTACAGAAAGACATCTTGCCTCTGCAGGAGCAGAAAATGCATCCTCTCTCCTCTCTCAGCTCGGAGAGAATCACACAGTGAAAAACAGGAAACCAGTGTACGTCACATCCAGTCTCCCTTTCCCGTGAGAAACTCCAACAGTACAGACTGTGGAATGTAAACACCTGTCTCGTGACATGCAGAGCTGCTCAGTGAGGGAAATAGAAACCAACATCCTCCCCCTTTCTGTGAACATCACTGGGCAGCGTGTTCGTACAGTATCAGTACAAACCCAACTTCTGCACATAGGTACAGTGTTGATCCCTTGATACAATCTTGACAATACATCAGCAGGAATTTCATTACCTGGCATATAGGACACCGTTACGAGTCCCTTCTGAATACATTCCCTAGCATGCTGCAACTTTAATTGCAAGTGCTTTGTGCTTTGCTTACAACCTTCAGACTTCAGCAAAGCCAAACATGCTTTGTTGTCCTGGTAAACCTGGATTGGACATTTGACAGGAATTTTCATATCTTTGCACAATTGTACTAACCATTCACAATCCTTAAGTGAATAAGACAGTGCATTCAGTTCGGCTTCACAAGTACTTAAGCTAACTGTTGTTTGCTTCTTGCATGACCAATCAAACAGACTCTGATTGTACATGTAGCAAACTCCAGACGTACTTTTCCTGTCTGTAGCGTCACTTCCAAAACTTGCATCTGCAAATATCTCAAGACCACCAGACTTCTGATTGTTAAATCTCAGTCTGTAATGCATAGTGCCTTTCAAATACCGCGCTATGCGTTTCAGAGCTTTCCAATCCTTGACACTAGGATTGTTGACTTGTCTGCTTAGCAAATTACAGCTAACAGCAATGTCTGGTCTTGAACATCTGGCAATGAAGTTTAGCTTGCCTAGCACACTCCTGTACAGTGTAGTGTCAGAAAATGCTTCTTCAGTGTCATCTACCTGATAACCTGTTGTCATCGGTGTGTCTACAGGGTTAGCATCCATCAGATTTAGTTTGCTTAACACATCAGCAATTTTCCGTGACTGGTGTACTAGAATGTTACCATCTTGATCTCTCTCTATTTCCAGAGATAGGTAGTTGTTTACCTCACCAAGATCTTTCATGTCAAAGTGCTCTTTCAGTTGAGCTAGGCCGCTATTGTACATTGCAACATCTTTCCAAAAGAATAATAAATCATCAACATAAAACAAACAGTACAGTTTCTGTTGCCCCTCCTCTGTGACAAATACACATGGATCAGCTTTCCCTTGCTGAAAACCTAGAGAAAACAATACTTCAGTGAGTTTTGTGTGCCAACACCGTGCACTTTGTTTGAGACCATAAAGGGATTTCTTCAGAGCACAAACAAATCCCTGTTTTACCTGTACGCCATCAGGTGGAAGCATATAAAGTGATTCATCTAGAGATCCGTACAGAAAAGCTGTATTAATATCATGGTGACTAATGTGTAGATTTTCCTCTGCAGCTAGCTTGAGCATAAGCCTAATGCTTTCATATCTCACTGTGGGTGAATAGGTCTCGTGATAGTCTTCACCTGGTACCTGTGCAAAACCTCTGGCTACCAATCTGGCTTTGTGTCTGACTATCTTGCCATTTTGATCTGTCTTCGCTTTGAAGACCCATTTGCTTCCAAGCAGTTTCATTCCTGGAACTACTGGAACTAGCTCCCATGTTTTGTTCCTTTCTAAGGAATCAAGCTCAGCCTTCATGGCATTTAACCATGGCTCAGCTTCCTTTGAATCCAAACCCTGGATTTCTTGGAAACTTGAAGGTTCAAATACCTTCTGGAGCTTTTAACAGCTGTTACTGCTATCTTAGCAAACTCATCAGCAAATCTCTTGGAGGTTTGCCTTTGTGGCTCTCTGTGACCTACGAATTAGCCTTAAGTCTTCAACACTCTCCTCTTCCTTCTTAGGAGAAAAACGACCTATTGTGAACAATGGTTCCTCCAATTCTTGATCAGAGCTTTCAGAGGGTCGCATAGAGGCTTTCGCACTCTTGAAATCCTCTGAATCACCCGATTCAGTTTCAGATTCAGACTCAGAACCTTCATCAGTGGGTGTGGGTTGTTGTGGTTGCTTTTGACTATCCTCAGTCTCATCACCGTCATCAGGATAACATTGGAAAATTCCCACATTCTACCCCCCACTTTGCATTGTACTCAACACTTCTCGTGAGCTTAATTGTCTTAGAGTCAGTCATCATTATTCTGTAAGACCCTTTCTGATAACCTAGAAAGATACCATGCAATCCACGCTTGTCTAACTTGGAGTTTTGTGGTGAGCGAACCCACATGTCAGAACCAAAATCTTCATGTGTTTGATGTATGGCTTCTGCCAAACATCTTCTCATAGGGGTACAACCAATCGCTGAAGATAACCTGCGATTGTAACTGTAAACAAAACACGAGAGAGATTCGGCCCAATAACTCTCTGGAAGATTGGCATCATGCAGCAAGGTTTTTAAGCCTTGAAGCAATGTCTGATTTGCCTGCTCCGCAAGTCCATTCTGCCATGGCGAGCGAGGACTAGACAAATCGTGTTGAATTCCTTTCTCAGTCAGAAAAGCTTCAAACTGCTGAGAAGTGAATTCCCCCGCGATCACTGAAAAGAGTCTTTATCTTCTTACCATGCACATTTTCCAACCAAGCACAGAATTCCTTGAACCTAGGAAAAGCCTCCGATTTCTGCTTGAGATTGTACACAAAAATATATCTAGAAAATGCATCAATGAGAACCATGAAGTATCTATTTCCACCCAAAGAGGGCGATAGTGGTCCAACCAAATCAGCATGAACAACCTGGTATGGTTCTGTAGCTTTCCTACTAGACACCTTACCTTTCGCAGCCATTTTCACCTTGTTTGCTGCGCATGCTTTGCACTTCATGTGGTACCTGCAGGGTTTAATAGTCATACCTTCAACCAAGGCAGGCATTTTAGATACTGCCTCAAAATGCAAATGACCAAATTTGCGATGAAAATCGTGAATACATTCTGCATGCAAACTTTTGTTAGAACCTGCAATGCAACAAGTGTCATCCTGCACCACATCATCATAATACAAAACAAACAAATGATCAACATATTCTGCATGCAATACATAATCATTTTTCTTTGTGATGATGCACTTCTTGTTCTTGAAGGAAACGCCAATGTTCCGCTCATTCAGCTGTCCAACGCTGAGCAGATTATGTTTGGCGTCTGGCACGTAAAGCACATTCTGTATCGATAAGTCCAAACTGTGAAGAACAACAGTTCCGTAGCCTTTACTGGGAATAGTGTGGTCATCCGCCTGGTGAATCGCACCTTCCTGCGGTGTAAAAGACACAAACAGTTTCTTATCGTTGCACATGTGGTGGGTGGCCGCTGAATCAACAACGAAGAAAGATCTAGACGTCTTCTGGACCTCTGCAACCTTTGGAGTGAAGCGTGAAACCATAGCCTTGTGCTGCGTTGTCCTAGACACCGGACCTTGCCTTTGCCTCGGCCTTTTCCGCGCGATGAGCTCGCTGCGCTGCTCTGTCTTGGCCCTGGGATGTCTGCATTCCTCTTCATATGGCCTAGACGTCCACACGAGTAGCATTTCACTGCCTTCAAAGCTTTGGCGCCATCTGGTGGTTCCACTGCACTATGGGATGACGTCTGTGAAGACTCCCTTGCCCATGCAGCTAGCACCCCGGCGATCT